TTAATAGAGCTGCATGGAAAAATGTACTTTGCTTTCTACTAACTAAAGGTAACAAAAGTGTTGTGATAGACAGGTGCCAATCAAACTCATACGGTTTAATTCAATTTTGACGGAAGCTGCCAAAAGCACACGACTTTGATTGACAGTTTTATAAACAAACGTCAATCACAATCATTACGTTGCTGATAACTACAGTTGTCGATCATGCAAAGTTCCAGCTTCCTTCACCATTTGATTGACAACGTGCCAATTAAATCATTGAGTTTTGGCAGATCCCATCAAGGAATAACTGCTTGATTGACGGGTTATATAAACAAACGTCAATTATGATAGGGACAAGCAGACGCAGAGACAAAAAAAATCTGAGGTTTTGGTCGTCTTAATCCATCCCTTAAGGTGAAATTATGAAAATTCCCATTTCTAAAGCTCAGTTTTTACCCATTATTTTATCTTATTTGTTATTTTTTCCATGTTGTTTGCTGTGCGTGGGAAGTTGCGTGCGTACCTCACATCGCTCGACCGTTCAGCAATTTCTCTCCTACAAAGTTGCCTAGTTTTTTTCAGTCTTATCACTGGTGCATACATTCAAATTATCGGCATATATAAGAAATGGCAGTAAATAAAATGTACTTTATAAAGTTTTTAATCTTTTCAAACTTAGTAAGTACTGTTAAAATTAATTATTGAAAATTGTTCTTTATTACTTTCATTAACATGACTTTATTCTTTTTCCTGTCACAAGAAACTCAAGAATACATCTGTAACGGTCTAGTTTGTTCCTGTTATTTGAAAGCATTTCCTCTCAGGAAATATAATCTTTCTTCCTTTTTTTGGAAAATCTTTAAAAAATTAAAAGAAGTTTCACTATGCATTCATTCCGGAATTTCTTCAAGTAATGTTGTCTTGAAGATGCCACCTAGCTCCACCACCCCATATTTTCCTCCCTATTGTGTCTTTCTACACTGAGCGGGAGTGGAGGGGTGATGTTTCCACATTCCTTTGTACATGGTATTCAATACTGACAAAATTAATTCTTGAAAAGTGTTCTTATTATTTACACCTACATCTGTACATGGCTTCATTCTTTGTTGTTTTTTTTTTCTGTCACAAGGGGCAGTCTTTCAAGAATATCTGTAACAGTTTGTTCCTGTTATTTGCAAACATTATCCCCTAGGAAATATAATCGTTCTTCCTCTTTTTACAAAATCTGTAAATTTTTATGAAAGAAATTGTTGAGAACAGAGAATTCTGAGAAGTTCTTATGTACTGTAGCTGCTGTCATGGTACCCTCTACCAGTCGACAGATTGTTTTTTCACAGATACTCGCAGATGTCTCTAGATAAATAGTCATGTTATAGTGAGAAATGACGACAACAGTCTGGAGCTTTCTAATGTTTATTCATCGACTCTCTTTTTCACATAATCTACAAATATTTATATTCTATTTTCTTAAAGAATTTTGCATTCTCATATTACAAAACGCTATTCAATATTTCCTAATTTAATAATTTCAGTGAGACTTGTTTTAAATTTAAAATATTAATAAAATTTTCCGAATTACTCATGCTTGGACCTTATCCATCTCGAGTATGATTTTTTTCCAGAAATTGTGTGTGTGTGTGTGTGTGTGTGGGGGGGGGGGGGGGGGGGGTCAGGACCCATTTGCCCCCCCCCCCAACCCCCCCCTGTTTTTAGACAGCATTTTTCTTGAAATCTTTTTTTT